CTTGCCTTTTTGGGAGATATTTGATGTTATTATTGTCATTTGAACATAAATACATAATTACACCTTCTATAACATCATTTTATTTAAATTTTGGTGACTTATGTAGCCGAGGCCTTGTCATGGATCACACCTCGCATGTGTCATGCGATGGGCCAATAGCTTCGTCTCGCCATTCTTCATTTAAAATTATGGTTGTGGCTACTGAAAAATAGTTTAATAAAGTGAATGAATTATATGAACAAGCTATCATAAAATCATTGATGGGATGGACGAGAATCCATTCACTACAACAAAAAAGTATTCTAACAACATAAATATAGTTACTTTTTTAATAAATGTAATTAAAATTGATATTTTTGTTACATTTTTTAAAAAACGTAACAAAGACAAAATTATAATCAAAACAATCACTACAACAAAAACTGCATTTTGAGACGCTTATTTTTTTATTTGGTGACATTTATTAATGTCACAAATAAATTTACCTACACTTGCAAAAGTGTCACCAGTTGCGTTGCTAAATTTGAAGTCACGAATTTATCTGTGACGCAACTTGATGCGTAGGTAATCTTTAATGGGTGACACTTTTTCACGAGTGCGTCGTTAGTACATAATTTAGTGACACAATATATTACTGTAAGTAATTTTCAATGGTGACTCTTTTTTTAGCGTGTCATTATTATTACAAGTTGTGACATGAAATTTTAGCGTCGGTAAATCATAATGCACGACGCTTTTTTATAGCGTCATTAATATAAATTATTGTGACACTAAATTGTATTGTTTGCAATTTTGAAACATTACACTTTTTTAAGTGTGTCATTGTAATTTTTGGTGACAAAGTACAAAGAGATTGAAAGACACTTTTTATAAATTCATATTCAAACACAAACCTCGGTCCACAATCATAATCCAATGGTTCACTGAACAAATTAGTGTACAATGAAAATGGGAAAAGAAATTATAAGCCAAAAAAAAAAAGAATATAATAACTTGAGTCACTCGATCTTGCCGTTTAACATGAAGAATTGCGAGCCGCTGGTCCCTGCGCGGCGCCACCATGGCTTGACGCCCAACACAGTGTGTTAAGGGTTTCTTAAGTATTGTTATATAACTTAATTACATTTTTAGGTAAAAATTGTCATATTAGTAAAAATTGTGACACTAATTAAAAATGTGTTATTAATTTAATACACTTTTTAAAATGTGTAACCATATAACTAAACATGGCAACATTTTTTTTTATAAAACGTCATAATTTGATTACACTTTTAAATAAATGTCTCAATATTGGTTAAAACGGTGACACGCTTAAAAAAGTGACATTATTTAATTACATTGAAAAAAAAAAACGTTGTTATAATTTTGTCTTTGTTACGTTTTTTAAAAAAATTAACAAAAATATCAATTTTAATTACATTTATTAAAAAAGTAACTATATTTATGTTGTTAGAATACTTTTTTGTTGTAGTGAAAGAGCAAAGAAAAAATATTATAAATTAAAGATGAGGATAAATGATATTAAATAATAATTATAAATTGTCAATGTGGGGTTAACATGTCATATAATTTACGATATGTCAGTTTATTATAAACGGTATAAAATTAGTTTGTTCAAGAGAACATAAAATTTGTATATTTAAACAATTAAGAACTCCAAAAATATTATATTATCATATGTAAAATTATCTAAAATTTGCTATATTATTATTAAAGGGTGTGAAGTCATCTACAACTTTTCTAAACTATTTTGTAAAGAAAATATATCAAAAAACATTAAAGTTTACATTTGTATGAAAGATGTTTTCTGAATATGACATGATAAAATATTATAAGCCTAAATAAATACAGTATAAAGTTTTTGAAAGAAAATTTACCTAGTATATATAAAATTAATATTGACATGATGCTGAAAATTATGACGACACTACCGTACCTGAAAATTTGACTATAG